GAGATATTTGTGAAGTATTTTCATGTCCGACTTGGTTTTGTGTGATACGGGCTGTGGACCGATTGTCATGGTAACGGTCCGTGGAAAGATATCAAATGTGATACGCGCTGTTCGGACCAATTGCCATGGTAACGGTCTGAGAGGGGAAAATATCAGACCGCAAATCAACCAATCAGAGCGCGCGTACGATATAAATTAATATAATAATGTGATGTATCGTGATACTTTCTCACGCGATCGATTATCAATATGCATTTGCCAAGTATCCATTTATTTTTATTTTTTATTATTGTTATTTTTTATTAGTATCAATACTTTATATATAGCTACATTACGCATCTCTACGCATTCACTTAACATTTTTCTTTTATTCATGCCAATATGTGCTGTATTTGAATCCAGAGTTGAGAATTAGTTAATAACTTACACTTATAACTATTTCGTGTTTATTCAGATTGCTTTACTAAAAGATTTCTATAACAGTATATGTCTGACCAATATATCGATAATCGTCATGTCGTGATATAATCGTGAGCTTTGTATCGCGTATGGTATCGTGAGGTACCCTGAGGTTCCCCGCCCTAGTGTATACGGACTCTAACCGCACCTGTATAAAAACTACACCAGCTAATTTTGAAGCCAAACTACCACATATAGACCACACTTGTATATAAGCCGCATGTTGTGATGCTGTTATCCGTACAACTTTGTCGACAATGGATCTGTACTGTTCTATGTGCGTAGATCTAGAGCAGGTTTCTCCAACCTTTTTCACCCAGAAAGCTACCTTCCCGGGACGATAAAGGCAGAGAGTTACTCCTTTGAGCGGCCCTGCAAAAACTTTGATGATATGTTGGTGTGAACGAGCCTGATGTTTGGTACAGTCACTATTTATCACCACATTACTAACGCATAAACTAAGTGCATTCACAAAAATAAATAATGATAATGAATAATACAATCATAGTAATATTAAGTAAATTTTTAGATGTTTTCATTTCTAAATCCTTTGGCGAGCTACCTGGAAGGGGGTGGCTACTGGAGACCCCTGAGCTACAGCAGCTGTTTCTCATCTGGTGGGTCATCTTTAAAAATATGTATCTACTACGCTACAAAAATGTCTTTATGAAAACTTTTTTTTCTGTCCTTGATTTAAGAATATAAGCTTGAAACTGGAGTCAAAAGTATTCAGTCCCTTTTGCAACCAAAGGCTTTCTGATGACTGGTCAATGCTGAAAGAACTATTAAGTAGAGTCCAGCTCTCAGTATATTGGTCAACGGCATCATGATACAGATAATAATAATTGATTTGAGAGTTTGCTGACTTTTATATTGATGATGGGTCCTGAGTCAAGCAGCCCAAGTCGATCTCGAGATAAAAAGGCACTACACTGATGAATTTAAAACGTATTTGAAATTCTAATATTGAGATTTTTTTTCATATATAACAGTTTTTTTCCCCATATCACGAGCCCAGATCATGGCATGACTGGGCACATTCACACTTGGTCTGGCTGACTTTAATTGGACCAGGTCTGGTTTCACTTGGGGCAAAAATTCTTCTCAGATCTGTCTCTAAAGCTATAAATTGACTTAAGTGGACACATATTCACTTGCTTGTTGGTTTTACATCCACAGTAAAATCATTTTTACCTCAAATGAACCTCAATCACACCAAAATCAGACCCCATATGGACCAATGTTTGCAAATCTAGTCACTGCGCGGTCTTGTTTCCCACTATTTTTTCTCTTTCCGTGACACCTCTGTTTTGCTCTTCTTTCCCTATCAGTGTTTTTCTCCCGTCTTATCGTGCAGGTCCCCACAGACTGTGCGTCCAGCATTGGTGGGGGTTAGTGAGTGGTCAGACCCGCCTGCATGTGTGTGAGTGTTTGTGTGTGTGATTGGCAGAGTGCCCACTGCAGACTCCTGTGGTGAAACTCCAGCTCCAGAGAGGTTTTTTTGGACCGCTGCCCAGGCTGACCCTCCACACACACGCACACACACAGACACAGAACTGCACTAACAAACCGATAAGACTTGAGGAAACACAGAGCACCGACCGCAGAATCTCCCCCTCTCGCTCTGGCTGCGGGCTGTGCTGCTTGTGTTCAGAGGTGTTGGAGATTTTGTATTCGCTCAAAGTTTCTGATAGAATACTTTGAAGCACAAACAGATCGAATGAATTAGCAAAACAGCGGCCTCAAAAATACTAGATCGTAAACAAATCTATAGCACAACATGTTCAGGACTTCCATGGCTTTGTGTATACATTATCTATGTCCATGTAAGGAATGTTTTAATGTCTGGATAAATGAAATCTGAGTCTGAATGGGGTGTAACAGGAGGTGAAACTTGGAAACTTAGAATATTGTTCATCTATTTCATGCTAGAGTTAGAGTTTTTAAAAACAAATTTTTTAGTATAGAGTTATTGTTAATTCATTTTGTGAAAATAATGGATCTCTTAATCCTAACACACCAGTATATGATTTGATAATATACTCATTACAGGCAAAGTTTGTTATCATTTTGATGATTGTGGTTTACAGTTTGCTTTAAAAACTATTCTTTTGAAGATTTTTTTTAGTTTAGTTATCTTAGGACAGCACAAGGAGGCTAGACTCCTCTTTCACCTTTGCCAGAACCACCCAAAAGCACACGGGAATATCTGTGGCCGGAGTAAAACTGTGGAATCCACTTGAATATGAAATAAAAAGCTCTACAAAAAGCCACGCAAACTGGACTCAGAGAAGCCCTGATCCAACCAGGATTCTCACCCAGGACCTTCTTGCAGCGAAAAGCTCACCACTCATCCAATTATTGATATTATAACAAATAACGGCTTGATTTATGTCACTTTGCATAGTATTTTATTTATTAGTGTTATATTGTAACTTGTATTTAAGAAGTACATGGACTTTTTCACAATATACTTTTTTTTTCAGGGTTTCACAATTGATCAAAGCACAAACCCAAAGAGCGTTTACAAACCAAAATCTATACCTTTTAAAAAAGATTTTAAAAAAAACACATACATGTAAAACACAAGGTACTGAAATGGAGAAAACAGTACAATTACAGTTATATCAAAATCAGTTAAAAGTTTATTTAAAATGACTTTTTCTGCACAGGTAAAATAAATAAATAAAGTACATGAAAAATATTTTGCCAATAGGGGGGTATTGTTATCGTCTCCGGGTGTGTGGGTGTTTGTTTGTGTTTTTCAGACATTTTCTGGAGGGATTGAGCTGATTTTGGGGCGTTGAAGATATTCCTTGGTGTTGGTGGGGTATGTGCTCTCCGGGCTGTTTCTATTGCTTGTTTTGTGAAGTATTTTGAATTGTGTACAAATTATACCTACAGCTGTATCTTTATTCTTTGTGCTTTTGTGCTTACGATGGAGAAGATCGAAATATGGGACCTTTAAAGCACTGTGATTATTTGAATGATTGCCTCTATCTGGTTTTGTTCTGGACTTTTTGACTTGCCTTGCGTCTGAACTGGCCTTGCTCTAAACTACATATAGGAATCATTGTCCTGTAATAAAAGCAACTATTTTCAAAACAGAATCATCCAGTGGTGAAGGATATATTTCTGTCAGGGAGACCAACGAGAACGGCATGTTTTTGAGTCAGTTCTCTGGCACATTTTGCACAATAGTGTCACACTTTCCATGTTACGGTCAACTCTATCATACGTGCTGCTCTGAGCCTGGGGCCAATGCTTCCAAATGAAAAATATTAAGATTAAGAGATCTTTATTTGTTTCACAGTGGGGAAATTCAGTGTTGCATTACAAGTTACAGAACAGGAATCAGGAGCACGCAATACAAGATACATGAACAAGAACTCTATACTTAAGAAATGTAAGAAGTTAATTTTGTCTTCTTATATTTAATGCATAGAAGGTATTGTAAACAGCCAAAACATGTCAGCAGTTCAGCTTCTTTACATGTTTGTATTATTCAAAGAACCGTCTAAGCATTAAGCTCTATACTAAAAAAGAATCTATAGAATACAATAAAATCTCCAACTTTAGCATAAAAAGAAGCAGGTATAAAATCTCTAGCTTTAGCAGAATAAGGAAACAAGTCTAAAATCTCCAACTTTAACATAATGAAGAAGCAAGAGTTAAGTACAAAATCTCTGACTTTAGCAAAATGAAAATACTAGTTTTCGCAATATTTACATTCCTTAGTTTATGGAGACCATTTTTACATATTGTCTCCTGCACTTGCAGTACACACAAACACATACATACACACATAAATATACACTCAAGCAGCAGTACTTTTCGTAGTTTCACCATTCGTCGGTATATTTACTAATATCTTTCATCGTTCCTTGATAATTCCTTGTATTTTAAAGTGAACTCAGATGACCCCAGGAGCGATATATAGCATGGCTCCTGTGTGATGCTTTGTGCAGACGTGGACTTAGGTTTGCCCCTGACACTTGGATGGCAGCTCCTCTGTGGTTACGGGACATGACATCACCCCTGCAGTGGAATAAGAGCACAGAGCAGTGACATCAGGGTTTGGCTCATCGTTAGTGTTCTGGTGAGTCAGGAAGAAGCAGAGGTAAACCACGGCGAGGACAGGAGGACATGGCCTTTTATACGACGGTAATAAGAACAGTTTTATAGAAGGAAACGGCAGCGCAGTGCGGGTGGTTATAAACATGGGTTAAGCTTCTGTCAATTCGTAGCTTCCTGGGTTATAAAAGATGTATTTCTCTTTAACAGAGAAAGAAAACACAAGGTTGCAGAGAGTATGTGAAGGGATTTCTTTTAATTTGTCTGTTCTATGCAATATTAACCTTCTAACAATACATGCGGTTCAATTGTATTTTATATTTTGTCTGCCAATTGATAAAATATAATCATTATATGTTCCTATATGTCAGACTCTTTATCTCGGGACACCAGGCTGACTTTGCTTCATACTTACCAGGAATTGCAGGCGGACTTTTAAATTTGATTATTTTTTGTGCAGAGGATGCATGAGAGTCATCCAGTACATCCAAGGCCTCAGCTTCGCAAAGATTCAAGGCTTTTGTATGCACTCCAAAAGGTTCTTGAGCAGATTCAGTTTAATTTGTTCTGGCGTTTTAGAGAAAATAAGCCAATAAGTGCAAGGATTTGGAGACACAAACCAAAACAAAATGAAATAATCCCTTGTCGTCCAGGACTAACTGTGATTTTTGCTCTGTAGCAAACCCAAACCTTTTAGATAAGAACAATGCAAGATACATACATCTGCTTTTTGTAACCACATGTTTTGTATGTAGATGGACAATGCTAACCCACCTAGCTTGATGAATCCCAAAAGGGAAATAAGGTTGAATTTAGGATGAAGTTTTGCTCAAAGCCAACACTGTCTGAAAAAAAGCCCATATAAGGAATTTGGCTCCAGCTAGCTTATATTCAAATCAGCTTCTCCTGCATTCGGGAAACACTATGGTGACATCATTACTCAGTTCGTCCACTTCTTATACAAGGTCTATGTTTGTAGCATGGAACCAGGCACTGAACTAACTTTGTGTAGTCTTTATTAGCTCAAAAATAAAACATCTTCAATGAGATTCAAGCACTTATGAAAAGTAACTTATCATATCTAGACAACAGCGAACATTAACACCCAATGGTTATGTATATTAGCAACTATAATCTATAACCACAGCTAACAATGATAGCTTTTATAACACATGGTGCATTTTGGGGGTATTAGCATTTATGTTTTAATTTCCTTCTTATGAATGTAAACATGGCTCCTTGTCATGAGCATAAACTGTTACAACACCTGCAGCCAAACGTCTCCCACATATTGACCTTTTGGCCTTTTTGGACCGCACTGTTGACCTCTGCACCTACATACATATTCTTTCAGTTTTATGGTTGATAGCCTTTTTGTATAACACATAGATATTCAACTCCCTGTTTACTCCATGTTAATGAAGTAACAAATCAAAATGCTATTAAAAGTGGTGCATTTTCTTACTTCGAACCATGTTTTATGGTTTTAAGAAGAAATGTAATGCATTATTTTTGCCCCTTTAAAAAATAAAATGAGACTATTTTCTTTGTCATTTTAGAATGTCAAATAATCTCTAATGTGGGGTGAAAATGTTTTTATCTGTCTGTCATAGTGGCAGACTATGTGTGCTATCTTCTAGTGCACATTGGGGTAGTCTTGCACAGTTTTTCCAATGTGGTTTTACTGCAAATGGCAAATAAGTTATATATACTGTATTAGCATGGATGGGTCTAATATAAAGGTCTGTTTTGGATGAGAGAACATGGTTTAAAAGCCCCAACAAGTGTGCACATACTTTATGGGGAAGCTGCAGGTTTGAATACATCTGCACCATCATCTCCCCACATTACAATTGGACGCCCCCCCCCCCCCCCCCCCCCCCCCAACATGGCCGATGTCACCATTTGCATCTCCGGCGGTCACAAGCCCACTTCATTAACCTTGAGAGGGTTCACGTCCGCCTGTCCCTCAGTGATGTTGTGTTCACAGATGGGGGGCCACGTTGCGAGGTGCGTGTGTGCGTTTGAGTGGAGAGGGGTCCTATTTGTTTGTTTTGCCCTCCAGACGTGACCGAGGGCAGATTAAGGGATTTAGCTGTAGGGGGTGGCACTGGAGGGACTAAAACGCCTCACCGCATCTACATGTATGGCCTATCAACGCACATAAAAAGCCCCAAGGAGGTCAAGGAAAGCTGGGCACCTTTTATGTTTGCTTTGGTTGGGGTTAAATACGACAAGTGTTGATGAAGGAAGTAGTATAGCATAATCAGTGACAATGACATGGCTTCACATGGCGGTGAAGATGCTAATAAGTCATGTGCTGACACTGACCCTATAATCCCTAACTTTTTAATAACTTCTTAGTGAGCCCTCGCCCTTATTGCTTTGTCAGCTTTCTCATACTGGCAGAACAGAAGTGCCACTAAACTTTTTTTTTTTGGTACTACGTATGGCGCAGACCATATTGTTAGAAATATGTAATGATGTCAGAAATTGTATGCAACATCATGTAACCAAGTCTAAGATGACAGTTATCTTTTTATTAAAACTATTGTGGCTTGTGTGCAGTGATTATTTCAGAGGACTACCGTGGTCTTCCCTTAGCCCTCAGTCCTCCACACGGTGTCCTCTACAGCTGTATTTTTCAGTGTCTGCACAGCTTTTGACAGCTGGAGCAGCACTCAGACTGGCAAAGAACTGGTTTGATATCTCTGCGATCGCACTTCAGCAGTCATGAGTTCAGGTGGTTATAAAAGTGTATAGTGTGTGAGGGGTTTTACAGGGTTTTACAGCCTTAAGACAAGCACAATTTAGCATGTTACATCTTTAACCACATCGCTGTTGCTTCTGGTGTTCACAGAGGTCTCCCATCCTAGTAATAACCAGGCCTTACCCTGCATCGCTTCAGAGGTCTGACAGTATATGGCTTTCACATCTAGGTATGGCCACAGGTATAGCAATTTTGACAACATCAGACTCACTACGACTGTGGAGAGTCTGGTGTTGACTGAACTGAAACAAAAAATGCATTAGCCAATCAGAAAACAGAGTAGTGAATGATGTAGAAACGGCTGAATCTAATGACCACTTTTAACCGCGTAAATTACACGCTGTCAGCTTGATCGCACCGCCTTTAAGCTTCAAATCCCGCACGGCCCCTGCACGGCCCCCCCATAACGCCGACCCGCCACGTGCACGAGCGCGTGTGTCACTTTGGAGCGAGGTTAGGAAGAGGAAGGAGGGGGCGGGGCTTGCCGGGTGGCCGCTGCTGCAAACAAAACGAATCAACGCCAAGCTCAAATCCAACCCGCGGGTCGCAGAGGTCCGTGCACCCGGGGCCCTGGCGCAGTGTGGCCCCTTTTGTAATGTATATGTGCAGTTCACCGCGGGGCCCTTTTCATGTGACAGGCCATTGTGACGTCCCGCCCACAAGACACGGCATCAAGTCGGACCCCGATTGTTTTATGGAAATGCATGCCGAGCTGGCCGGGTGTCTGCCAGGCGGAAGACAGCGAGGGTGGAGTGGATGGGATTGGTGGGAGTTGAGTTCAGGATGGAGGGGGTTTCATTGGGAGGCGGTTAAGGGGGGTAGATGTGACGCCGACCCCAGCGGACGCCCCTGACCCCGAGCAGATGGCCGGGCAAGCCTCTCTCCTCTGAGCCAGAATTAATAGCGTGTGCCGTGTCACATTGTCTGACTGAGGCGGGCCCTGCCTAAAAGCACCCCCCCCCCCCACCCCCCTCCCCTCCCCTCTCTCGCTCTTCCGCACACACACTGCAGCCCTCCTCTTGCTTCTTTCTCTTCCCCGTCTTCTTTGCATCTTACACGCTTCAGACAGTGTAGCCTCAGTTGAATCGAGGCCCACACACTTGCCCTGACCCTCATTCTTTACCTTTACAGTAGCCGCCAGCAGTGGAGAGAAGAGTGCACGGGGTTTGTTTCATTGTGCTCAATAAATGAATGCAAGGATTGCTCTTAGACCTTCTGTTTCCTTCTATATTCTGAACCTCAAATTTGTCTCTCCTCCAAATTTGCATTGAACTGTGATGTTAATTATACGTTATGGTTCATCTGTTTCCTAAGATTCTTTGTTGTTATTGTTTATAACTTGCTGGTGCACTGCAGGTATACAGCCTTTTTCAGTGATCTCAGTTCAATTACATTTATTTTTACAGCAGTTGTCTCTGAGGACTTTACAAAGTTTGTCGCTTCACCAACAACAGATCAGAGAATCAAACCGTCTGAACATGGTAAATGCAATAATAAAAAAAACAGACATAGGGATCCATAAATGTCAAACAACTGGGAAAGAGAGAGACTTCAGGGAGGATCCAAGGACTGGAATTAATCCTTGTATAACAAAAGTAGTGCACATGAATTTGTTTAGGAAATGAGTTTTACATTTTTACCCTTCATGATGTTTCACTATATTTTTTCAACTTGAGATATTATTTAACTTTCTAAAACATGACATGGCAACGTATTGCCTGGCCTGCCAAACGATATGCTTTTTCAAAGACATATAGTCTGGGAACGAGCTTGATCTCAGCGAATTCCCGGTGGGCGTGGTTGACAGACTGCATCAACCAATTAGATGCACACAGGATATGACGCAGCAACTAGCGGCACCCAAGCCGTTTCAGTAAACACAAAACAAGGGATGGCGGGATGTCAGCTAGTGCAAATGTAAACGACTGTTGTCGATTTTGTAACAAAAACTTAAAGATACGAGGAGTTATTAGCAACTCAAAGGTGAAAGGAAGTCCCGCCTCTCGGTGCGTGATTGGACCGATGTGGGTAAAATCGTGAAATGATAGGCTAGGAAGAGGTGTCCAGACGGTTCTTCTTTTGAACAGAAAGGAGGAGTGTCTGGCAGGCCAGGCAAGGCAACGTATATAGCCTTGTTAGAATTGATAATGTTCAAAAAACAATGCATAATATTTATTAAAAATACTGGTTGCTCATATTAGCTCTGCACTCATTTAGAGTTTTAAACGTTCTCCTTAATCACCACCTCCTCCGGCGTTCCGTTTGGCTCTCGCTCCTCGACCACCCTCTTCAACCCTTCATTTGTTCAGGCCACTCTTTAGAAGCACACTCATTCACAGGTTAGGCCACTCGCCGAGGCTTTATACCGGGACAATTAAGGCACCTGCGCCTTCAGAGCCCCCCGCTGTATGGGCGGCCCCCATGCACTTCCTCCAGCCCACTGGGCCGTTCACCTCATTATTCTCACATTTAGTAAAGTAAAGCTCAGCAACTACGCCATGTAATATTAATGCTATAATATCCATGACCATTTAGAAATGACATTTGTAAATACCTGAAAGGTTTTGACTTGGTTGTATTAGGCCGTTGTTATTTTTGGTAATCTATGTGCTTAATTTCAAGTATAAAATTATTGTTCAAGATAAATAAGAGTAAAAGGTCACATTCTCGCTGTCCACTCCGTGAAGTTGATGATGGAATCCAAATTTTTGGTGTATTTTTTTATTGGTGAAAATACATACATTCACAAGTATGAAAACATGCAAAGGCACGATACAACAAAAACATAGAACAGACAACGTTGTGTGTGTGTGTGTGTGTGTGTGTGTGTGTGTGTACTGTATTCTGAGTTTTTAAATAACCTTGATTTGGTATTGATTGTCAGTGAAAATACCAAATACGGGCGACAGTAGCTCAGTTGGTAGAGCATTGGCCTTCAGGCCTGAAGGTTGTGGGTTCAATTCCCACCTCTACACCTTCTCCACCGACTCCCACTGATGACTGCTGTCGTTGTGTCCTTGGGCAAGACACTTAACCCCACTTTGCCCAAAAAGCCCCCACTGAAAGATCAAGGCTATGCTCACACTCAGAGAGCAGCCGTCCTCCTGTGGACTCACCACCTGCAGAGGGACGTCTGAAGCAAGACCTTTGCTTGGCACGTTTGGCGCGGCGCGTTTTGAGATTTCGAGCGTCTTGACGCGCGCGGATGACGCTCGAGTTGAACAATGTTGAACTTTTCGGGAGAAGACGCGAGCGTCTACCAATCAGGAGCCTCCTCCAACAGTGACGTGGTAACGCATTTCTCGGCAGGACCGAGGGGGACGACAACACAACAGCTATGGAGGACAAGCTGTGCTGTTAGCCCATGAGCCCTGCAGACTATAACCACCGTGACATGGAGGAGGTCAGTGAGGAGGTGTCTCTGGTCAGTTATTTAAACTTTTCACAATCACTAATACTTCCATGAACAATATCTGTAATGTCATCTTTAGGGAGAAACAAACCCACAGATTACATATTAAAGCTACACAGAGGAAACAGTCCATGGAGACAGCAGCTGTAGTATGCTAACATGTAGTATGCTAACATATAGTATGCTAACATGTAGTATGCTAACATGTAGTATGCTAACATGTAGTATGCTAACATGTAGTATGCTAACATGTAGTATGCTAACATGTAGTATGCTAACATATCACATGCTAACATGTAGCATGTTAGCATACTATAACATACACATTATGCCAGTCTCACTTTGGTTGCCTTAGATTTATTTCCCACAATGTACATTGTAATATTCAAAAATGATAATCAAAATAAATTAAATAAATATTTTACTTTCATGAACAAAATGCTGCAGAAGTTGAAAACATAGACTACATGTGATGCAATCATTGATAAAAATGCTAATTATAACGTTAATAGGTGTTAGCATTTATGGATATTACAATGTACATTGTGGTAAATAAATCTAAGGCAAAGTGAGACTGGCATAATGTAAAAACGAATATTAGCCTTGTTAGCATGTTTTATGATATCAAGTAGAGTTAGCTAACTTGCCCAACACTAATTAGCTTGAATCTCACAAATAAGGCTAAAAGGTTAAAAGAGTTGCGCACTACTATGTACAAACGGATGAAAATATGTTTACACCTTGTTCAGATGACAGTCAAACCTCCTACAGATTCAGCCCAGACTGCTGCTGCTGCTGCTGTGAGAGGTCCTTCTGCTACGTCATCGCCGCCATTTTTGGCGCCCCCTAGCGTTTCTATGCGGAAGTGAAAAGGTGCCACTTCAAAGCCGTTTTTTTAACATAATTCATCTGAACATGTCAAAATGAACACCCGAAATATTATAAACACATATTGTAGTTATATATTCTGGATAGCAGCATATTCAATTCTAGTACTACTTTAAGTTCTAATGGAATACATTCAACTCTAATCTGATCAGTAACAGTCTGTTGCTTTTCAAGACTTCAAAAAGAGCAGTTCTAGGCCTTTCCTGTGTTCAACTGCTTTTTACTGATGTCCGTTATAATACAGATCCATGGATATTATTATTATAGATCCATGGATATTATTATTATAGATCCATGGATATTATTATTATAGATCCATGGATATTATTATTATAGATCCATGGATATTCCTTTCTCATCAGAAAACACACAAACAGAGACTTGGGTGGCATCTCTGATTGCCACCCCACTGACCCAGAAATGGATTAAAGGGTAGAAAATGGATGGATGGATCGATGTCAGTGACATCACTTTTTTCCTATGCGTATAAACTGTTCTTATGCAGGCAGGTAACTGACACGTCAATTATTTGTTTTTTATGTAACTATTGCCAATTGCATTTTACTTTGAATGTAGCTTTAGGATGTACAGCATGCCATGGTAGCCCATATTAACCTCTAGACTGCATTTTGAGATATTTGGGACTCAGAATGAGGCGATGAGTCAAAGAAAATGATTCAAGTTCAACTTTAACTAAATAAGCTAAGTTAAAGCATGCTGGACACTGAGGTTCTGTGTCTGGTTCAGGACAACCGTGGATCCAGGTTGCATTATGTCCAGGTTTTAACACTGTTTTAAAATGCTGTGACATTCTGTGATTTTTGGAGGAACACAACATTTCATCCAGACTATATACCATTTTAGAACTTCAACAACATTCGGAAACAAAACATTTCTAAAATGTCCAAAGTTCCAGGTTCACATTGACTTGAATTCTCGAAAACAGAAGAAGCCTGCATGCCATGTCATGTTGCCAAAGTGTGAAAATGTTTCTCTTGAGCAATGATGCATCATATTTAAGAAATGTCAAAGCATGAAACTCTGTTCACAAGCCATTCCTTTAGGGCCTCAGTCATATTTTTGTCCAAATGACAGAATGACAAACTACTGTACTTGTAAAAGACTGTCCCCAACATTTATTTTAATAGAAGAAATGCACTGAAACAATTAGTGAAATTGTAAAACATGACCTAATTTTCATGTAACAACTTCATTAAGGTGGAGCCATGCACTGTCATGTGAAAACCAGAACCTGTAGGACCCCTGAAGCTAAGCAGAGTGGGGCTTGGTTGGTATTGTGATGGGAGACATTTGGGAGCAGTAGGTGATACAGTGCACTGTGCACGTAAATGATTGGTATTAAAACAGCGCTTCACAGCATACACTTTCAGCTTGTGCAGCAACCTCCTTTCATCACCATGAAAATCGATGGACAAATTATGAATAGGCTCATCAGCATATCTTCTAACAGCAGCA